ATGAGAGCAGGTCAGTGAGGGAGCGGTACGAGAGCAGGCCGGTGAGGCAGCGGTATGAGAGCAGGTCAGTGAGGGAGCGGTACGAGAGCAGGCCGGTGAGGGAGCGGCATGAGAGCAGGTCAGTGAGGGAGCGGTACGAGAGCGAGCCGGTGAGGGAGCGGTACGAGAGCAGGTCAGTGAGGGTGCAGTAGCGAGAGCAAGCCGGTGAGGGAGCGGTGGACTGTGGTGAGAGCAGGTCGGTGAGGTAGCAGCAACGGTGTCCCAGCGATCGGAGCGGCGCCTGCACCATTGTAGAGATGGGACTTGGGACTGAGATCTGGACATTTCTTTTTCTCTGGCTTACCTTTTGGCTCTGTTAAATCTTTTAATTCTTGTTTTTGTAACCAAGTGGGCACCAGTGAATGGCGACTTTGTGCACTTTTCGCTGTACTTATGTATTCCTATACTTAGTACTTGTGACAAATAAATAAATCTAAATCTAAAGTTATGCAGGGCATTGGTGAGTCCACAGCTGGAGAAATGTGTGCAGCTTTGGTCTCCTTATCTGTGGAAGGATGTTCTTGCTATCAAGGGAGTGCACAGAAGGTTTACCAAATTGATTTTTGGGATGGCTGGACTGATGTATGAGGAGGCATGATGTATGAGTTGGTTAGCATTGTATTCACTGGAATTTAGAAGAATGAGAGGGATCTCACTGAAATCTATAAAATTCTAACAGGACTAGACAGGGTGGATGCTGGAAGGACGTTTCGGATGGTGGGCCAGTCCAGAACCAGGGGTCATAGTTTAAGGATAAGGGGTAAACCTTTTAGGACTGAGATAAGAAGAAATTTCTTCACCCAGAGAGTGGTGAGCCTATGGAATTCACGATGACAAAAAGTGATTGAGGCAAAAAAAAGGGTGTTTTTAAGAAAGAGGTAAATGTGGCTCTTGTGGCTAAAGAAATCTAGGGACATGGCGGGGAGGTTTGGATAAGGGTATTAAGCTCAATGATCAGCCATGATTATATTGAATAACAGGGCAGGCTCAATGCTTAGAATGGTGATCCTGTCTTCTATGTTTCTATGAACAGTGAGTTGTACTGGAGCTTCTATCTGTGTCACATAGTCTTATCTTGCTCGAATGTTCATTATTCTTGCATGAGCCTTCAGGCTGAGCATCTACTAGACCAAAATGTAAACAGAAAATGCTAGAAATACTCAGATCGAGCAGAATCTAGAGAAGGAGAAATGCATCAGACAAGGACCTTTCTTCCGAAGTGAAGATGCTAATGACTGATTGTGGACAGTGTAATGGCTGAGCCTACAGCAGTTGTAACATGATGCCAGTAGATATGCATTATCCATGGGCTCTCATTAGATAGCAACAATCACCCATAGCAGGAGGGTGCTGAGTCTAATTGTAGTGTCCTTTCCATTTTCCTGATAATGAGCTAACCTAGTACAAAATCAAGCTTGGAAATGTTCGGGATAATTCAGTGTTCCTGGGAGGAAGCTGTGAATATGAGCAGTCTTATGTCAGACCACAGACTCAGAGCTGAAATGCTCTGCTGTAGCTTCTCCCCATTGCTCTGTGTAAGACACTTGCCTCCCTCCAAAAGTTAGTTTTTATGGTCAAAAACAAAGTTGCTGGAAAAGCTCAGCAGGTCTGGCAGCATCTGTGAAGGAAAAAACAGAGTTAATGTTTCGGGTCCAGTGACCCTTACTCAGAACAGTTTTTATGGTACTCAGCATGACTGAGGATGTGTTAGAAAGGCATCAATGTTACATTGCAGCAATAGTGAAGGGTAATTGTCTGACACAGGGAGAATTGGTTGTGGACAGATTCCTAGAGGGAGTGGTTTGAGTAAAGTTAGCTGTGGAGAGGTCTATTATCACCTCCTCTCCTACTCTCAGCTCTCATTACCACTTATTCAGCGTGTCTTCTGTTCTAGTTTATGATCAATAATCCCCTCATCTCCCTTCCATATATCTCTCTCTGGGCTCACCTCCCCCCACCCCACCTCCCCCCACCCCACCCCCAACCCTGTCTCCAACATAAATGCTACTGTTTCCTAGCAAACAGTTCTGATGAAGAATCACCAAACTCAAACCATTAACATTGCTTTCTTCCCACAGATGCTGCCAGACCTGCTGAGTTTCTCCAGCAATTTCTCGTTTTGTTTTTGATCTCTGGCATCTGCAGTTCTTTGTTTTATTTTAACTCTAGAGAGATTTGTGGCAGAATGATACAAGAAATCCACTGAAGCCTATTTTGACATCAGGAACATCTCATTCCATCTTTAATGCTTTTAACAAGCAATGAGGTGAGTTCCTCGCTAGCCGGTGTCAAGTTGCGAATAAAAGAGGATTATTTCTTGTTAATGGCCCAACTTACTTCATTAGTAATCAACTTCTGACCTTACCAAACAAGCTAGAGGATGAAACATCTCTGCATGGAAATCAGAAACCAGGTACCTGGACACTTCAGCTCACTGCTTGGTCTGAAGGACCTACATGTTGCTTAGGGGACAGCACAGTGGCTCAGTGGTTAGCACTGCTGCCTCATAGCACCAGGGACCCGGGTTCAATTCCACCCTTGGGTGACTGTCTGTGTGCAGTTTGCACATTCTCTCTGTGTCTGTGTGGGTTTCCTCCGGGTGCTCCGGTTTCCTCCCCCAGTCCAAAGATGTGCAGGTTAGACAGATTGGCCGTGCTAAATTGCCCGTAGCGTTCAGGGATGTGTAAATTAGATGGGTTATGTGGGATGTGTCCGGGTGGGATGGTCTGAGTGTCGGTGTGGACTTGTTGGGCCGGAGGGCCTGTTTCCACACTGCAGGGGTTCTACAGTTCTGTGACTAAACAACACCTTAGGATAAACACCGTCGGCCGCAGCTACACAACTCACTGATCCATAGAATCGACATCCAGCACTTGCCAACCCCTCATGATTATCATGGCACCTCTCTGATACACATACAGGCTATACAGACTTGTATTGCAGGGCACATTGGTAACTCGCATTGAAAGGGCTGCTGCAAGGACAATTTGTGTACACAGACAGGTGTCCAGCTCATAGATTAGACAGGCTGTATCTCACTTAATCTCTTAGTGCTCACTCATTTAGTGCCTACCTGCAAGGTCATAACATCCATGCTTTTCCTTGCCTCCCTTGCCATGCAGTGTCAATTAGCACATAGACAGCAGTCCTCAGACAACAGGGTGCACTCCTTGCTGTATGAAAAGGACCAGCATAATGTGCCTGCAGCTTACATATCATACACACTGCATGGGGAGCAAGCAAGCAGGCAGGCCTCAGTCTGAGGGGATTGGTACTCATACAATGTGCTGGCACACTTTCATTTGGGACTACACAGAGAAAAACAACAACATGCAAGGTGAAAACAGTGACATTTATAAATAAGTGTCAAATAATGCAGACTGCATTGTCACCCAGGCACCAAAGTGCCCTCAGTAGGTTTTCCCCTTTCTCTCCCTCCCACTGCGTCTTAGGGTAGTCTCTGTTTCCGTGGCTGGAGTGGACAGACCCTGCTCAGCAGTGGGTCTGTTGGTCCTGTAGTTTTAAGCAGGTAGGCCTGGGTGGGGTTCCTCGTTTGGCCAGGTTTCTTCTGGAACTGCCATCTCCAGGTGAACAGGGCTCTCCAGATTCTCTTTCCACCTGTTGGCATGCCTTTGGTCCTGAGGATCAATGGCTGGGGTGATGGAGACCATGTTTACTCAGCTGGCACTCTCAACCTCAGGCTGGTGGGAGCTGTGCCCTCTCCAGGACAAAGATGTCCTTCATCAGGAACCCCTCAACCCAAGACGTCCAGGTAACTGTCAGGGAATCAGTGCCACCTTCCCCTTTTCAGACATGTTCACCAAGTGTCCTTGACCTGAGCAAGGCAGCTTCAGAGTGCCAGTGCTCGTCAAGGCATAGAGATGGCTTGGCACAAGGGATGCTGGCCTTTTGGCAGATGTTATTGAGTGGCCAGTTGTTCTGGGAACTGCACACGGTAAGATAGGGATAGGATTGGACATTGATGTCAAAGGACTGGAGTAGGTAAATAACGAGGTGAGTTTGGTAAGATAAGGTGAGAAATCTCTGAGGCGTGATGTCAAAAACCTAACTAAAAAACTCAACACAACTCGCAGTTAGTCAAAATAACGCAAGTTCAGCCCATAGATACAATTAGCTAGAAATTCCAGAAATACTAAGGGCCAATCTGATTGAATTTTTGAATAATTGCTATCTTTCTTGTGCCTACTCTAAACAGTTATTCCATACAGCTGGCACAATTTATGTTAAAGCTAAGTCTAATCAGCAGTGACTACTCCATATACTTTTCGGTGCCTGCAGCTTCTGTTTGAATAGCTCATATCTGTTTTCTTTGGACAGCTGCACACACGTTATCACAAGGGAGACAACATGTGAACAGTGTGTGCAGTGCTATCCAGGCCACTTTCAGGAAACATTGCAAATAAGCCTAAAGCAGAGCTTTTGTGCAGGCTCTCAGTCCTTAAATCAATAAGAACAAAACCACAGGATTCAAGATCAAATACACACTCTGGAATCTTGCTTCATTTATCCTTTAGGGGCGTGGGGAGTAAAGACTTGTGGCAGAGCTTTTATCAGATGAGTTCATGGTTTTAGATAAGGTTCCTGACAGACAAAACTATAGTTGTTTAGGTAAAACATAAACTTGCTAGAATGGATGGTCATATCTTATTTTATGTGTTTATGAGTTCTCAGTTCACAATGCTTTATATGTAAAAAATGTATTTACAAAGGGTTTTGCAATAGGCTTAAAGGCTGGCTCACAGTTTCCAAGCATTTGGTCGGTATTAACAAGCCAACTGGAGTAGCTCCCATGTAGTATTTCTGACTCCTTATCTTTCACTTTTAGAGGTTTTCCCCTCACAATTGAAATCATAGCACTTTGCCCCCATTCCCAAACTCTTTGTTAGAAGCGCAAGAGGTGCAGAGCTCTTCACTGCTAAATTGATATTACATGTACAATGCACTGTGACAATTACTTGGGTGGAATCTTATGGGGATCTGAGTGATGTGATATATGGTGCAATTTGTGGCAGAACCGGTAAATCCAGCAAGGCGTAGTTTGACATTGGGAGTGTGATAACCCTGACAAAGCCCATGGGGAATCATTAATTAAACTCCCTGCAAAGCCTGTGTACAAGTTCCCTTGGTAACAAGCGATGTCTTACTGAGCTGGAACTCATCACCTGAACCCTTTATAAAGTAGATCCAAGGATGGGTCTACAAAGTTTTTTTATTCCTTTCAAAAATATATTTTATTCATAAAAATATCTTTTTATATATATATATATATACACATATAGTCACAAACACAGTTTGGTTCTGTACAGTAGTATAGCAAGGAAACAATCAAATATTGGAGTTTGACTCTATCCAACAAACAAACCCAAGGCACTTCTTACTTGTCCAGGATTATATTTGAGACACCGGGAGGGTCTGATAATTCAACTAACCCCAAATGGTGTTTCTCCACTGTCTATCCTGAGCTGGGACTAGCCTATGTAGACCACGATTATGGCTCTATTTTGGTATTAGTAGAAAGTAAGATGTTCCTTTCCAGTCAGGTTTCCTGAGTCATTACAGGGAGCAATGCGTTGTATCTTTTATGTATCTGCTGAGTTTCTCACTAGACAATTGCAAATTGAAAATAAGTTGGATTAAATAAACAAAATGGCGGCACAATGTCTCAGTAGTTAGCACTGCTGCCTCACAGCGCCAGGGACCCTGGTTCAATTCCACCCTCGGGTGACTGTCTGTGTGGAGGTAGTACATTCTCCCCGTGTCTGTGTGGGTTTCCTCCTGGTGCTACAGTTTCCTCCCACAGTCCAAAGATGTGTAGGCTGAGTGGATTAGCTATGCTAAATTTCACGTAGTGTTCAGGGATGTGTAGATTAGGTGGGTTATAGGGTGATGGGTCGATGTGAACTGTTTCCACACTGTAGGCAATATATGAATTCTATGAAAAAAAACCTTAAGGCTGCAACACACCTCATTAATATTCAGCTTCCGATGCTAAAAAAAACAGTCAAAACTGGATACCCAAACATCTTGGCTTGGAAGTCAGAGCGCGTACCGACTGCAACTCACTGCTTGCTACAAAAGACCTCCAAGCCATCATCTCAGGGCACACTCTAAAGGCACTGGCCCTGGGCATTCTATGACTATTGACATCTGATATATACCAGCCTCCATGCACCCTCATGGCACATCTCCAATCCACTTATGAGATGCTTCTGAACAACAATGCTGTATTTTGGGCTGTCTTAGTAACCTTCATTGTAACACTGCAGCAAGGACACTGCCCTCAGGGACAAAGACCCAGCTCAGACTGGACCAGGCTGCATCTCCAGGCTCTTCACTTGCTGTCATAGTATTTACTCACTGAGCTAACCTGGATGCTCACTGTATCCCCGCATTGCTTGTATTGCTTTGCCTTGCCCTTGTGCTTTGCCCCCTCAACCAAAGCTACCAGGCTCATAGTGTTGCTGCCTTGTGTCAAATCTAGAACGCTGACACAAAGGCAGAAGCCTTGTCACAGCTGTCCTTAGTCAAGATCAGGGGGATAGCATTCACTGAGAGGGTCCTGAGCCAATGAGTAAAGGGCAGCCCCTGTTATCAGTTCAGGGCCTTACAGATGGTCAATCAGCATCTTGTCTTGGTCAGAATGCTGTGCAGTCTTGACTCTTTCAGCCCTGTAGTTGGCTGTTTCCTCCTGGACTGAGAGAGGGGTAGGTATGGAAGTAGGTGGCACAGCTGTTACTGTTGGTGTAGCTGGCAGGTATTGTGCAAGTGAGGATGCAGTGCTGAGGGCAACGCAGGGTTAATGGGATTGGTTTGGGTGACAATGAGTGAGTGAAGATGTTGCAGGTAACGGTGAAAGAGGTGGAGCATGAGTCTTGGTGAGTGCAGAAGCAGAGATAGAGTGTGTGAGATAGGGGAGAGAAGATGGTGATGATGATTGAGAAGGTCACTGACCTTCATCCCACAGTGTTGTGGTTTTCCTCAAGCTGGCCGAGATTGTACTGACCCAGGTGGCAACCTCAGACCAGCCTGATACGTTCTGATCTCGTCCCCTCCACCGCTGCTCCTGGTGAAGTGGATATCCTGCATCTTCACCACCCTGACCAGCACGACTTTCAGGTCCCTCCACAAGTTGGTGACAATTTCTCTCACCTGCCATGTCTGGCGCAAATTTCAGGAACTGTGCAGGACAGCCTTATGCTGATAGGGCTTGCCTGGATGTACAACATGCATTGTAAGTTGGCATGGGCACAAGGGATGCTGCCTTTCGATAGATATCTGCTGAGTGGCAAGTCGTTCGAGGAATGACATGTGATAAGATGGGGATAGAATCAGACATGAAAAATGCCATAGGAATGGTGTAGGTAGTTAATGAGATGAGTTTGGTGAGATACAGTGAGAAATCTCACTGTGCACCATGACAAGAATCCCTCCAAAAACAACTCAACACAACTCACACATAGCCAAAAAAGACACAAGACTCAGCCATAAGTACTTACCAATGAACCTTCTCTGGCTGCTACATAACAACTGCGTCCTCCAGTGAAGAAACTACCACTTACAGACCCAAATGTGGAAAGAACAACAGACAATGGCATTAGCCAAGCCCAGCTGCCCAGCACTCTGTTTCTGAAAATAGAAAACGTTCCAAAGGAAGTCATGAAAGACAGTTCGCAGCCATTTTTCACTATTGTCATTCCAATTTGGTGTTACTTAGACTGTTACTAAAGTCTTGCTCCATTCTTAGAACACTCAGAAGATATTGGGATTTTTAGTTCTGACTATTCAGCAGAAACTGGGAGAGCGACAAGATTTGCTGTTGTTATTCGAGCCTTAGGCTCTGGAGTCAGTTAGCTTCAGGATAAGTTGGGGCCTCATTTATCAGGACAGACTGAGGGCTTATCTGATACCTAGGGTACCGAGGCAATTGTAATGGACAATCACATGGTATATATGTTTATAATGCCCCTTATAGAAAGCACAAGTCATAGGGGTGCAATTTGGACACAACAGAGCAAGCAATAGTCTATTGGCACCTCCCTTTATGTTCTGCTGGAACATACTTGCAGTACCTCAATGTTGAAATTGGAGAGTAGGAGCGCACCTACAAATTCAACATTAAACGAAAACTGACCAATATTCTCCACTTGAACCCAACCCAAATCACCACCAACACCTCCCCCTCTCTTTGATTATTGCTAATATTTCTCTTATTGCCAATGATATTACTTTTCCAGCCAATGCGATCTATCCCTCAGTCACCAGGTCCTTCCTGAGCCAATCAGCCTTTGTTACTATTCACCTAAAGGAGGCAGCTGGCATTTCTTCCAATCAAATTGTGGGAATAATTAAAGACACCTTTAGTTCCTGCCACAAACTATGTTCCCTTCCCATTGACTCTTTCTTCTTGGCAACTGTCTGAAGCTGATCGAGACGCATTCAAACAAGGCTTCATATTGGCACAGAGAGGACTTAACCAAACCATCTGTGAGATCATCTGTTTTTAGTTTTGCGTTATAGCCTCAACTTAGCCGCTACTGAAACCCTCATTTAAGCCTTTGCTACCTCTAGACTTGACTATTGCAATACATTCTTAGCTGTTCTCCCATGTTCTACAAATTGCAAATTTGAGATCATCCAAAACTCTGCTGCCTGTGTGCTAGCTCACCCCAAATATCAATTATTCATCATTACTGTACTCGCTGACTCATATTGGTTTTCAGTCAAGTGAAGTCTTGACTTTAAAATTCACATCAATGTGCACTGTGCCCATCTCTCTCTGCTTTTCCCTCTTTTCACACACTCCTTAAAATCCACCACTTTAATTCAGCTTTTACTCACTTGCTCCAAACTCTCCATTTCAAATTTTGGTCATTGAGAACTTTGGGGCATTTTGTTACACTAATGATGTTATATAAATGTAAGTTCTTGTTGTCAAAAAATCATCACAATCTTAAATTTTATTTCACCAGTGAGCTTCCTGTTAATGTCCATAACTCATCAGTTCAATGGCAATGTTTTGTAAGGTCTAATAGAGTCATACATCTTAGAAACAGACCCTTCGGTCCAACTCGTCCATGCCGACGAGACATCCCAATCTGACCTCATCTCTTTTGCCAGCATTTGGCCCATATCCCTCTAAACCCTTCCTATTCATATACCCATCCAGATGCTTTTTAAATGTTGCAATCGTACCAGTCTCCACCACTTCCTCTGGCAACTCATTCCATACATGCACCACTCTCTGCGTGAAAAAGTTACTTCTCAGATCCTTTAATATTGAATATTTTGATCATTATCTCCAGACCTTTGTTATATTTGTAATTGCTTGTAATGCTAATTAATGGACTTTTCCCATTTGGAGCACTGACCTTGTGTTAAGTTTTCCTTCAAAAAAAGTTCTGTGAAGTTGAATTTGAGTCAGTCAGATTTAGAGCCTGAGATTGTTGCCATACCCTCAATTTGTATAAGAAGCCAAAGACCTGAAAGCCGTTGAATGACAAGTATTCTATGTCTGTTATGCCTCCAGAGAAAGTCTCTGGTGACTGTGGGACTGATTTGAGACTGGATGATTCACCAATAACATCCCTAAGATAAGTCCCAGGGTGAGGTGGGGCCAGTTAGTGGAGAATGTGGTACGTACCAGTGAATACTGCAAACCTGTTTCCTCATGTCAAGAGTCAGCAACAAGGGGTCATCAATTTAAAATTCAGTCCAGACACTGGTGAGAGAGACTAGGGGAAATTTATTTACCCAGAAGTTCATGAAAGCTTTGAGTACATTGCAATAGGCAGTAATTGAGGCAGTGATACGATCTTCTAAGGGAATAAATGCCTGAGCATTTGAGGCAGAAGGATTCCTGGTGGTGGAGAAGGAGCTGGGGCAGAGTGAAGCAACAGAGGTAATGGGATTAGTTTTAGATTACTTCAGCAAAGATCTGGTACAGCCACATTGAACTTAATAGCATCATTCTTGGCTGCAGATGTCTTTGAACCTATGGGATATTTTGAAAGAAGTTAGTCACAATGCATAACAGAGACAACAAGGTGCAGAGCTGGATGATGCATAGTTCATTTATCAATGGCATTCTTTGAATAAACATATAAATAAAATCACAACTTATGTTAGCTGAAGTAATTTACCCCCATGTTACAGCCACAGCACCAGATGCCATCATCTCAGTTGGATTCATGGCTGCCAGGTAGCTAATATTTACCATTAAATACAGCAGGGTCACCAATGGAAGTGAAATCAATATAGCCCGAGGCAGGTTCACCTGAAACAGCAAGTTAGGTTAGTTGTTAGCAAGGCTTTTGGAATTATAATTATCCTCAAAACCCACACCGTTTCTCATCCTCTGATGTATATGGATGGAAAATGATTGGATTTCTTCTTGATGCTTTAATATCGCAAAAATCATGAAAACTTAGTTCCAGGCGGGAACACAACTTGAGCAATATTTTTTCCACATTTCAATTGTCCAGGTTCGAACATGAAAAATAGACAGAGGTTGCTGTAGGTGTACGGCAAGTTAAGTAGCATTTCATATTTCTACCATTGTCTTTTTCATTTTTGAAGAATGCAAAGATAACCCCAGGCATTCCTTTCCCCAATATCTTTCTTCTTAAAACCATTTCCACTGCCTACCATCTTTACTTGGATATCATGTGATACAAACTCAAACTTCCTGCTCTCATGGTGGAAACCATCCATTTAGAAGTATTTCCTACTTCAGTCTTCACTCTGCCTACAAAACCAAATCTTCCCCACCCTTCCATCTGCCCTAGCCCAGGAACACATTTCTTTTTAGTTTCTTTGTCATCACCAAATGAGTTAATTTTTTCCAAGACTCTGATCTTCTCCTCTATTTCATTCTCACTAAGCTACCAACCACCCAAGTTTTCTCTGAACCTTATTCTCGCTGATGTAGGGGATGGTCCCACTCCTCAGACATTGTCCCCCTTGCAAAAAGTCAATATTATCTAACAGAAAAGAAGCACAATCAACACCTCTGTGTTCACATGTGCTCCATTTTCTACTCCCATTCCCTTCCAAAGGGTGTTGTCGCTTCATAAAGCAAGGACCATCTCTGTCATATTTCCATGAGACCTCCACAGAATCCCATTGGTGTTCCTGTCTGATCATTATTTGATCATTAGAAGAGGTCTTCAGTTAGTTGAAATAGCAGGAGATTTCTCTCCTGGCGGACCTTGATACAGAAGTCTGCGCAAGAAGGTAAATCCAATTGTTACAATGCCGAAGAGGCCATTCCACCCATTGTCTCTGCACTGGCTTTCTGCCAATGTCCTGCATTTTCCTAGCAACCTGCACATTATCTCTCTTTAAATAATCATCTAATGTCCTCCTGAACACCTTGATTGAACCTGCCTTCGCCACATTTATGGGCAGTGCATTCCAGGCCCTAAATACTTGCTACGTGAAAGAATTTTTTCTCACCTCATATTTGCCTCTTTCACAAAAGACTTAAACTGTGCCCTCTGTTTTTGATCCTTTTGTGAATGCATACATTTTCTCCCTAAAACCTCTATCAAATCTTCTCTTATCCCTAAATAAAAATCGAAAGAACTGCAGATGCTGTAAATCAGGAACAAAAACAAAGTTGCTGGAAAAGCTCAGCAGGTCCGGCAGCATCTGTGAAGGAAAAAATCAGAGTTAACGTTT